TGGATACAGTGCAGGTCTTCTGATCCCATGCAGACCGGGTAAAGGAGGAGTCAGAGTCCTCAGTAGTTTTGCAGGTTTTTTATTTGAGGTTCACCAGGCATATGGCAGGCAGGGGTGCTGGCTGGGGGGCTGGGAGGCTGGCAGGCCTCCCAGCCCCCAGCAAGTCTTCACTCTATCTGGGCTCTCTGGCGTTCTTTCTGCTGCTTCTCCGCTTCCGCTTCAGCTTCTACTGCTGCTACTGCTGCTGCTGCTCCTGCTGCTTGCGTCCCCCCGTGACGCCGCCCTTAAAAGCACAGTCTTAGCCCAGGTGAATTCCATCTACCTATGCCCACACCCTATTCCAGGTGCCCGCCATCAGGCATGCATTCAGGACAAGGATCCATCATCTATCCTGATGGCGGAAGGGCAGAAAAGCCTGATATTTTCTTTACCCTACACCATATGACCCCATAGTCCTACTTCAGGGTACTTAGCAAAAGAATATAAAAAACAGTAACTAGAGAGCCTCTCTGGTGGCCTAGGGTCTAAATCTCAGGGCTTTCATTGCTACTGGCCTGAGTTAGATCCCTAGACAGGGACCTAACCCTCATATGGCACAGCCGACCTCTTCTGACTGGCCCGCTGCTCCCCTCAGCAGTGTATTTCAGTAGATCTGCCTGTTCTATCTCCCCACTCTGTCTCTGGTGAATCCTCTCACCCTCCTGCGCTTCTGGCCTGTACCCCAGTTCTTGTATAAATAAATAAATCCATTAAAAAAAAAGATAGAACACAAGTCAAAAAAAAAACACAGTAACCAGAAAAGACATCTGCACCCTAATGTCTATCGCAGCACAATTAACAACAGCCAAATATGGAAACAACTCAGGTGCCATGGATGGACCTTGAAAGGATTATGCTAAGTGAAATAAATCTGAAGAAAGACAAATACTGTAGGACTTCACTCATTTGTGAAATATAAATAAAATGAAAACAAGCTCCTATATACTCTGACAACAGAATGAGAGTTAAAAGAGAGGAAGGAGTAGGATGAGAATGGTTAGAAGGGGTTGATTGGTTGGTGTTGGATGGTGACTGGAGATGTGGTGGTGGACACGGTGAGAAAATGTATTCTTGGAATCTATACAGTGTTAAAAAATTAATGTTACCTCAATTTTTTTTTTAAAGAAGGGAAAATTTTAAAGTAAAAGAACAAACAGCTTTTCAAGAGGTGCTGAGGACTGCCCTCATTCACAACAGCCAAACACATGGAATTCATTTACTTGCCAAAGCTTTAGCAAGTGCCAAGCCCATCATTGTGTGCTTGCATCCAACTGTGAAGAGCCTTCGCATGTCAAGTTGATGGAGACCCTCTGTGCTAAATAGATACCAAACCAGCCTAATTAAGGTTGATGGCAACAAGAAACTAGGAGAAACATTAAGCCGGTACAAAACTGATGGAGATGGGAAACCTTGTAAAGTGTTGGTTATTGATGGAAGGAATCTCAGGTCATTAAGGAGTACCTCAAATACTCAAAAAAAGATGAAATAAATTAGGAGAAACTAAAAGAGAGCACTCCCTGATGACCTATTCTTGCTGGAAAAGTACTAGGCACTTTATGTAAGTTATTAAATCCAAATCCCACAAAATAGTAAGCATCCTCACTTTTCAGATGAGAAAATTGAGATTCTTATGGATTTCAAAAGTGATTTGCCCAAGGTAAGGGGCAGAGTCATGTTCAAACCTTAGGCTGCCTCGCTCTATAGGTCTCACCAACAACCCCAAAGACTTCCAAAAGAGTGAAAGGTTAAAAAAAAAAAAAAAGAGTCAAAGTTATAAAGGTATAAACAGCCCTTAGCAAACCATTCTACAACCATTCCTTCTCTGCCTTCTTCACCTTGGTTACTTTTAAAATGGCCTCCCAATCAGCAACCAATTATTTCATTTTGCACCTAATAGCCCCTGTGTTTTCAAGCTACTATTGATGATTTCAACATTAAAGCAATCCATTCCTTCTCCTTCCCTCCCCCTTTAGACAGGAATGTCAACTATGCCCCAATATTTAACTTTTATTCCCTAATGTCAGCACTGAGGAGGAAGTCTTGAAACCATCAAGTACTCAAAATTCCTTCCATTTTTAGAGAACAACCTGTGCCCAGTGGTTATATAGACTGTTCTCACCATATGTTATTTTTAAAAAATCTCTATCACCCTTTATCACAGGAGCTTTGTCCTGGACACTGATTGTGGTCCCATTTAAGAAGCCTCCCTTTTGTTTAGGTATGAAATAGCATTGCTGCTCTAGTCCTCTGAAATCTCTTCTACTAAAGTCCCATGCCTTTACTTCTAACATACTGATTTCCAATTCTAAAGTGCATAGAGGATGAGTTTGCAGCAACTAGGAAAGTATAGCAACCAGGCTCTACTGAAAATTGCCTGGGTCCAAAATATTCCAAGAAACACATTACCTATTTTGGTAATCGCCAAGTTTCAAGGATTTATTTTTTTTTTTTAAGATTTATTTATTTATGCATACAAGAACTGGGGTACAGGCCAGAGGTGTCGGGGGGGGGGCGGGGGTGAGAGGATTCACTAGAGACAGAGTGGGGAACAGAAAAGGCAGATCAACTGAAATACACTGCTGAGGGGAGCAGCAAGCCAGTCAGGAGAGGTTGGCTGTGCCAGGCGGGCAGCTCCCTGGCTGGGGATCAAACTCATGCTGCAGAGGCTGGGGACAGCTTCACAGCACTGTGCTTAACCCCTTGCGCCACCAAGGAGGCCCAGTTTCAAGGATTTAAAGGCTGACAAACAGCAATTCTATCTGGGATGTCACCTTGCTTCAGCATGAATCACACAGAAAAGCCAGCCTGTGAGCTAGTCTAGAAAGTCCATTAAGCTATTAAGTATGGACCTGAAGTAACATTATAAACATAAACAAAAATGAGCAGGAAAATTACATCAAAGCAATATGGTATATTAAGTAGGGAAAAACTCAGAACATGGTATACACCCCGTCAGTAAACAGTGTTTATGACTATTTATCTTTAAAAGGTCATTACCAAGTCGAGTCAATGGCACACAGAAGTATAACTATTATATAATAAGTGAGTATTGCTAAAAATTACAAAATGGAACTTAAAGAAGAGATCCCATCTTCATTTGCTGGGGGAGACTTGTCCTACAGGAATAATGACTGTGCCCCGACACTATGGAAGACAGGTAATGTGGTTGCTTCATGATGAAATGAACATGGAGTCTGAAACCATAAACTAGCAGTGACCCTCTGAACAAATCCTTTTTATCTTTCTGCCACACTTTTCCCGTCCCTGAAATGAAAATAGTACTCCTCTCTCCAAGGTGTGGAATAGACAATGCAGTCAAAACCCACACCAATGCAATTGTCTGACATCACCACTTGCAAGTCTTAAAAGCAATTTTAAGCTTAGTAAGGTGCAACATGAAATTCTCAATCATCCCCCAAAGCCTGCGCATCTCAGTACATGTAACCATTTCAGTAGCATGGGAGCTTCCTCTTCTTCCTTCAGTCCACTCATCCAGTCTCATCTATTCTAGTTCTCATAGCCCAATCTCTTCCATTTGCACTGTCACCACCAGAGTCTAAGACACAACTCTCTTCCACAAGAATTACTGCAGCAGCCACAGTGGTCTCCAGCCTTTCACTTTTGGTCTCTCCAAATCCTTAAAACTATAACTTCGTGTCACCTATGACCTTTAAATTCCGTCAGCTGCCCATTGTATTGATAGAAGCCAAGCGCCTAAACTTGGCTTTCAAGACCCTACAGGATCTGTCTCGATTCCTTCTCAACTCATTTTTTCCCATCCCTGACCCAGCTTCAGCATATTGGCTTTTTTGCAGTTCCTCACAGGTGCTATGCTCTTTCCTGACAAACTCCTACTCACCCTTTGGGTCTCATTCCCGAGTGGGCTCCCCTTCCATGAAATTCTCACAGTGAAGTACTTGCGTATTTGTGCCATTATTTTCTTACACGAAAGCAAAAAACCACAGACGGTTATAAACTCAACCACAAGCTCCAGGCGGTAGGCGCTGTCACCGGCTTGGTTCACCTGTGTGCCCTCTGGAAAACCGGGTCTGGTACACAATTTGGGCGCAAATATTGGAATGAGTCCAACTGAGGTGAAGAGAAGAGTCCAACTGAGGTGAAGAGTCGGCTACCTAGCCGACTACATAGCCTACCAGAAAGGCAAAGTACAAACTCACACACCTGTCCATTTGTCTAAACATTCTCCCCAATTCCATCCTCAACAGCTCAGGTAGCTCGGACCGAGGCACACGTGGGATGTGATACCTCGGTCTTCACCTCAGGCGGTCGCTGCGGTCTTCCCTCCCCGCCCCTCTTCAAAGTTTCAGGTCCAGAGAGATTCCAGATTGGCTTGAATGAGAATGAACGCGCCTCTTTGGCCCCTGCTGGTGGTGGGGTCCGGACCACACCGGGAGACTTAGCCAATCAGGCCGGTCACCCGGAGTCTGAACTCTAGTCAGGGCGCGCGTGACGCACGCCTGTCGGAGCGCTCCGTCAACTCTGAAGCCGCGTGGTGCGAGGCACTTTTTTAAGGTTTCTCACGTTCAATTCAAACCGCGAACTCCAAGCTCGAGCTGCCAGGCGCGGGTCGCAGACCCTCAGGCGTCCACTTCACGGAAGTGAGAGCGACAGAAAAGACGTCGCCTCCTTCGCCTCGCCCTTTAAGAAGCACCCCCATTCGAGTCTGGCGGGGCTCTCAGTAAATCATCGCGAGAGCCACCGGCTTCCGCCCGCTTCCTTCTCTCGGTTTGCCGGGCCGGAAGAAAGGTGTATCTCCCCGCCCCCTGGCCTTACCTCACAAGGCAGCGCGGCCACAGCTGCGGCCAATCGGCAGGCTCATTGTAGGACGCTGAGCCGAGAGCCAATGGAAAGTAGCGGCGCGCGCAGAACTTTCCTTCTTCCGCACCGGCCCCCTCCCTTCCGCCCGCCGACTTCCACTCAGCCTCTGGCGGAGGAAGTGATGTCACAGGCCCCATGTGAGCGGATTGCAACACATGCAGCTGCCTGGAGAGAGGGAGCCGGTGTCCTACGTCAGAGCCGCCGCCGCGGAGCCGCCGCCGGGGAGGAGCAGCCGCTGCCGCCCAGGACTGGGCCCTTAGGTAAACCGGGGAAAGGAAAGGCCAGGGACTACCGCGGCGGGCCGCCCGGGCGGGAAGAGGAGGGCCTCTCTGGGGTGGCAAGGAAGGGAGCCGCTCTGCCCCAGCGGCGGCGCTAACTCTGTGGTCTTGGTGTCTCCGGGCCCCGCCGGGCCGCTCTAGGGAGGAGGAGGCGAGAAGATGGCGGACGACCCCAGTGCTGCCGACAGGAACGTGGAGATCTGGAAGATCAAGAAGCTCATCAAGAGCTTGGAGGCGGCCCGCGGGTGAGCGCCGCGTCCGGCCCCCCCGTGCCCTCTTGGTTCCCGGACCCCTCACGATGGCCGCCCCCGCGCCGCATGGCCGGATGAGGAGAACCAGGCACTAGCTAACTCCCGCCTTCTGGACCTCTGGGTGGTAGCCCCCAACTCAGGGGCGAGCGTCTGCCCGGTTGGCCCAAGAAAGTGTCCTTCCCCCCGCTTGGGGGTAAGTGGCCGCACTCGCGGGGCTCGAACCACTTGACCCAGTCGTGGTGGACCGCTGTTACTTTTGTACCCCTCCCAGGCCCTTGAATGCAGCCACTCCCTCTGAGCTCCAGGTGCTGCCCACCTGACTCGGGTGATGTTGGGGGAGAAGGCACGGCCTTCTTTTCCGAACGCCCTTCCCTGATTTCCTCTCTTCTTGTTCCTCAGTCAGACCTCATTAAAATGGCCTCCCCCTCTCGACCTTCTGATACCCGTGTGTGTGGGTGAAGTTTGGACGGGCAGGAAAGACTAGGTGGTCAGGGACTACCTCTTTCTGACTTCCCCGATGCCTGTGGATTTTAGCAGCTGTCTTAAGATGACTTCCATGGAGCTTCCTGGTTTTAGCTGTTTCACGACCTACCTGTAAATTGAAAATGCCAGCGTGTGCGGGGTGGGAGAATAAGGGAGCTTTTACTTTATGAATCTATACTGCCCAAGAGCAACGCAGATTATGTGGCTGTTTGATTTGAGCTATAAGAACAGGGTTTCTGTAGCTGCCCCTCTCTGTAACTTATGTGGAGAGTTGCCTTTGCCCTGAGGCTTGTTGGCGTTCAGAGCTGAATTAGGTCGACTCTCAGTCTCTATTTCTAAATTTTGTGAGAAATTGGGGTGTGTCTGTTGTAGGAAGGTAGGCTGGTTACAAACTGATCGTAACATTATACTGTTTTTATATTAAAATAGAAGGATTAGTGATTTTAGGAAGGTGTGTCGATGGCATTCCTGTTTTCTATTTATTTTGTTGTTTTCCTAGTTATAGGAAGTTTTTACTTACAGGATGTGGACCCAAAAAAATGCGTTTGGAACATTACATATTTTTGTGTCTGAGCATTCTTAGAATAGCAGAGTGGCTTGCCCCAGGCCATGTTGAAAGTTGTTTTCAGCACAAGAATTGGGCATTCTGACTATCAGTCCCGGTCTGTCCTTTGTCAGTCATTTGCAGCGAGCAACTAGAGGATCACCATCCCCTCAAACTCTGTTACTACTTAATGAAAGGGTATTCTTAACTCCTCACAAGGCTCAGGGTTAACAGATTGCTTTTGCTTTTGTGTTTCGTTCTCAATAAATTAGGACAGTTTTGCTAAGGAATGTAACTTCTGAAAGTTTGGCCTTATCCAGTGACTTGGGCTTTTCTTACTCTAATATGAATTGGAGGTTACAACTTACTCTTTATTCTTTAGGTTGCTTTTCTTTGAATTTAATAGACTATTTAGACCTAATTAATAATCTTATGGGAACTTGAACCCAGATGGTTCTATGCCACATGGTATAATGAGTAATTGTTTCCCAAATGTGACAGTGTAATACAAAAGGGGTAATATAGGTCTTGACCCATCATAGTGCACTACCAGGAATTAGCCAGGTTATTTTGTTTCACTGGGATTTTCTGTTGTGTTACTTGAATCCTTTAGTAGAGTATGACTTTCATATAGATTGTATTGTTGCTGTTTTGTTTTAAGTGAGATGTAACCTGTATATTTGTTCTCTTGAGTTACTTTAATTTGGAGGTTTACATGTATTCTTTGAGGAAGACAAAAATACAAATTCACAACATTGATAACACAGTTTATTAAGGAAGAGCATTCCTTTCTATTGCCTAGTGAAGGAAATATTCTTAAATTGTTTCCTGGCCATGTTGCCTAGCCACTTGAAACTTTTATACTCCTCTGTAAAGTTTGCAAAGACTCCACCTCTTTAATTAGTGTAAAGCATAAGTTTTCTTCCCAGCCATAGTTTGAAAATTTTGGACAGAGTTGAGATATATAAAATAACTGAGAGTTTTCTTCTGAATTGCCTGGTTTGCTTTTATTCAGAGGTTGTATCTTGATACATCTCGAAAATTTAAAATCTCAGCCATCTGTGGGCATCAGTAAGGGAGTGACAGTTGACTCTGTTGGACTCATGTTCCCCAATACGTAATAGTTCCTTTTCAGGAATAGCTTTTTTTATGACTAAATTATATTAAAATCAGGCTATTTCACTTATCAATATACAGTAAGAAATGTTCTACCTTCTTTACATCACTCTGAAATATTTTTGGGGCAAATTAATGGATTTTAAAGATAAACTGAATGGCAAACAAATCTATTTGCTGGTGTTTGGGTGCAACCTGTGTGTTTTAAGAGAAAACTAATGAGTTGAACCACGGTTATTAGCACTTTGATAGTGCAGTGGAGTGGTGAATTAATAGAATTGTCCCGGAAATGAAGTTGTTTTGGGGGTTCGTTTGTTTTCTTTGGCCTGTCACAGCAGTGTAGAATTCTGAGCATGTGAGTCAGATTCATTGGTTTTAAACAACACTAAGTAATGCTGGGATAAAAGTAATTTTAAAATAGAAATAGGCAATATGTGATTGCTTCTTTATATGACCCAAATATAGTGTAGGTTTAAAAGAAACCTCCTGCAAAATTGACTAATTAAATATTGAAGTTACAGAGCATGATAATTTATTGAGCCCTTAGTCACTAGTATAATATAGACACTGTGTCAAGCAAACATTACTTCGTTTAATCTTCACAACAGCCACCATTTGATAGACAGGGCAACTGAGGCTGAGAGATTAAATAATTTACTCTCCAAAGCGTCACAGAGCTAGAATGTAGCAGAGTCCAGGATTTGAACCAGTGTAGTCTATTGGACAATGGAATTGTTTTATGTTTTCAAAAAACTGTAAGACTGGATTTACTCAAATTGTAATCTGAGCTTATAACAGACTATGTTATTGTCTTAGAAGTACATTTGTGGGAGCCAAAATGTCTAAAATGGAGAACTTGACTAGGAGTCAGTTTTTGTAGCCAGCATCATACTTAATTTTCTGAGTTGAGGATTATTACATGTAACTGAATTTAAGTTGAGTGGAACGTGCTATTTAGTTTCATATAAGCCTGACTGAATGCTAGTTTCAGGATGTGCTCGGAAAATAATCAGCCGGTTTTTTTGCTCTACATACGTGCCACTTAAAGTTAGTGGTAGTTCTTCCCAGTTTATGATTGCTTCTGGCATATTCTCTATAGTTGGTTTAATGAGGACATATGTATATATAAGCCAAAACTGGAACTAGGGCCATGTGAACGGAGCTGTGCTTGTCCTTATTCTGAATAAGGAGCTAAAGCAGATGAACATATGTTAGAGGAAAGGTAGGTGGGAAATTTTGGTTGTTGTTTTTTTCTGGTGTCTTCTGAGCCGGCATGAGGTAGCCCCAGAAATAGTGTTGGAAGCTTCATAGTTTTTAGATAAAGAAATAATCATAGCCTGTCCTGGTCATGGGCAGTGGTGAATGTGACAAAGGAACAGACAAGGTTAGTTTGAGCTAAGTTATGTCTGTGAGTGTTACAATATTTTTTCACTTAACTTCAGCAGGGAACCTTGTATATTTCAGATAAAATGCAGGCACAGTCAAATAAGATCAGCATGGTTCTGTAAACTTTATTTGGTCTATGGTCCTTCAGCATTTTTAAAGCTTACTGTTTGGTTAAAAATAACTTAAGAGATCTTGACTCTGAACGAAATACAAATTATATGGCCGTGACTTCTTATCCCCAGACATAACTCTTGGTGTGGGGTGATGTGACTCTTCACTGCTTTGAATACCAGATGTGTGAGGTTTTTTCCCCCACACTAAGCATTCTCCGGTTCTCTGCTAAGTGTCCTGTAATTTAATTCAGATCTGACACAACCTGGAGTTGGCATTAGATCCCACAAAGTAAAGGACTCAGTCTCACAAGACTGACCCCACTTACAAGGTGAGACCAGGCCTCCCCTACTTCTCACCAACAGCCTGTAAATTGGAGGTTGTTATGACTCCTCAGTTTCAGCCATTTGCTACAATGGCCCACAGAACTCGGGGAAACAGGTTTATGTTTGCTTTGTAATATATTACAAAGGATATTGCATTATAAAGGATACAGGTGAAAAGGTACATAGTGGGGGCTTCCCCGGTGGCGCAGCAGTTGAGCACTGGGTTGTGAAGCTGCCCTCAGCCTCTGCAGAGCCGTTTCAATCCCTGGCTGCTCCCCGGCCACTGAAGGAGGGTCCCACATGGTGCGCAGACCTCTCCTGCCGCCCGCTGCTCCCCTCAGCACTGTACTTCAGTCCTTCTGCCTGCTCTGCTCCCCGCTCTGGCTCTGGTGAATTCTCTCACCCTCCCGCGCTTCTGACTGTGTCTAGTGCTTGTATAGATAAATGGAAATAAATCTTTAAAAAGAAAAGGTACATAGTGGGAGGCCCTGAAAGGTTTACCAACCCAGAAGTTCATTAAATCCTATTCAAGAGTTTTTAATAGTTTAATCTACAATCCCAACCCTACCCCCCAGGTTCCACAATGGGGCTGAAAATTCCATCCCACAGAATCACTTGGTCTTTCTGGGAATTAATCTCATCCTGAGATTATTTAGGTTTCCTACCTAAGTCACCTAATTAGCATAAACTTAGGTTTGCTCCAAAGGAACTATGGATGACCCAAAAAAGAAAGAAATAGGAAATTCTACGGATTTTACTAGTCCTGCCAAAAGTCAGGACAAAGACCAACATCATCCCTTTCCTTACCCCACCTTCCCCCATTTTGCTTTCCACAGTTTCGGGTACAGTCAACCATGATCTGAAAATGTTAGGAATTCTGAAAAATCATATCCACATAACTTTTGTCACTGCAGATTGTTAAAAATGTTCTGTTTTACTATTGTTAATCTCTTTCTGTGCCTGGTTTATAAATTAAATGTTATCATAAATATGTATGGGAAAAACATACCCAGAGTTTACTACTATCT